CGCAAAAATTCAAAATTTTCCTTTTCTTTTGAATAGACCTGGTACATGACAGTGTATCGAGATTATAATTTGTATTACACTGGTTATATAATTGGTAACTATTCATATGTTTTATCTATGGGCCAAAAATTTAAATATCAGGATGAATATACTTCTTTGAAATAAAAATAAAATAAAATCTCTTGCGCTAAGCAAAATATCAAGAATCTAGAAGGTGAAATTGAGGTTCAGAATTATCTCAAACGATATTTTGTCATACTATGTACAAAAATACTCTACAAAATTCATAATCTGTAGTCCTTCAGAAAGTAAAATTAAGCGCATGTTTTTATCTCAACTGCAACACAAGATTCTCTATGATTTTCTACATCAGAAAATAAGTACGAGTATAAACTATACTTGTATCGCTTGAATAAATATTTGCAATGCATTGCGCATAACTCTAAAATTCTTCAAACAATTATTTATATTTCAATTAGTTTTTCTATTATAAATTCATTAGATATACACATATTGACATTAGAAATACTGATCAACTGTCATTATAATTTATATTGTTGAATTATTGAAGGTTAATACGGACCTCCTGTTGGTTTATTAATCATACAAACCAGTAATGAAACTGGTATGTGTGATCTTAAAATAGGTTATTGTGTAATTGTCCTGTTGAAATGAGAGAATAATATAGTATATATGATTTTGGAGTCTCTTGGTTTATTTCTTTACTGTATTATTACTCCAGTCATTCTAGTCTCGTTCAGCATTGTTCATCGTTGATTTGATCTGAGCAGCTTCTAAAATTTTTTCAGTTTTTGTATTCATTGAATATAAACTAAGAATCAAACACCTGCACTTTTGATTTACACTTTTATTGATAACATAGCATGACGCGTTTCGTCGTTGCAAACGACTTCTTCAGATGCTACTAGAATACTAGAGTAGTCGCTACTAGAAGCTACTCTAGTATATACTCTACTATATACTCTATTGTAGCATTTCAAGAAGCGGTTTGTAACGACGAAACGCGTGATGCCATGTTATCGATAAAAGGGTAAATCAAAAATTCAAGTGTTTGGATTTTAGTTTATATTCAATTATAATGGATTTACATCAAGTGAAAGCCAACACTATTCAATATTTTGTATTCATGTTTTATAGTTGAATCTATATTTCTCATGTAAGGAATAATTAGTAAGTAAGGTATTGCAGTTATTCAAGACGGAATCTACAGAACAAAAAACGATTACTTCTAATGTGTGTTTTTTCTAGAGATATAGAACTTTAAATTGCAATAAAACAACGATGGATCATTCGATTGACAAGAATTTTTTTTTATTCGAAAGATAATCTTGTGGCATTACATTTTAAATATGATTTCTGGCATATGACCGCCACGGCTGGCTCGGATGTAGTCCAATTTTGATGTCCAATTTTCGATGACTGTTTCCAACATTTGTGACCGTATATCGGCAATAACACGGCGAATATTGTCTTCCAAATGGTCAAGCGTTTGTGGCTTATCCGCATAGACCAATGACTTTACATAGCCCCACAGAAAGTCGTCTAGCGGTGTTGAATCACAAGATGTTGGAGGCCAATTCACAGGTCCAAAACGTGAAATTAGGCGGTCACCAAACGTGTCTTTCAATAAATCGATTGTGGCACGAGCTTTGTGACATGTTGCACCGTTTTGTTGAAACCACAGCCGTTGTTCAATTCAGGAATGGAAAAGTTAGTAATCACCCAAACAAAACAAAACAAAAACCACGCAAACCAAGATCCTTCCGCAAAATCTTCCATAAAGTGGATGGACACAGATTCAATTCCTGTGCTCGATGGCGGATGGACTCATTCGGGTCTTCCTCAATGCTACGCTCTACAGTAGCAATAGCTTCTTCTGTACGCACCGTACGGCGTCTCTGGGGATGCGAGTTATCAATAAGAGTAAACGTGGTGAGAAAACGTTCCATGGTTAATCGAATTAACTGCTCTGATGGACGATTTTGTCGACGATAAAATGGACGTAGTGCGCGATACGTATTCCGCACAGAACCATTATTTTCGAAATAAAATTGCACTATTTGCAAGCGTTGTTCAGGCGTGAGTCTATTCATGATGAATTGCCAAACCAAACTGAGAATAAATCATTTCTCAGCTGTTAAATCGGTCGCCATCTTCAACAGTAATGCCAACTTAAAATTCTATACCTCAAAAAAAACACCCTTTATCAATCAAAGGAAACTTATTCATCCTGAGTCCATGGACTTACAACCCACTCCTTTAAATTATTTGTGACTAGCATAGCAGCCTCTTAGTTCTCGTTTCGGGTTGTTAATATCAAGAACCCTCGTTGCGTAAACATCTTTTTCAGCCAACCATAGAGAATCATCGTCATTATCCAAACAAAGAATTTATCTGTACGTCTAGCAGAATTCTTAGAGGACGAATCTTCGCGATGGGCCAAACTTCTTTTTGACTCTCATGTGATTGCTTCTGTTGATTACTGGGTAGATGCAAAATATGCCACTAAATGTGGTGAACAGATGGCACATGATTGCTCAAACTATTCCTCCACACTGAGGCAATAACTATCACAGCTTGCTTCAATTGTGATCAAGCTCGGGGTCCAAAGCAGCGAATTTATCTTCAGGGTTCAGATACAATTGCAAATGTTTCTGAGGTTTTCGTTAATAATGCAAAGTACGTGTTTCAACACTTAGATTTCGAAATGTGACATCACGAAATTTAGGATCTCTGCCACCCTATTGTCGGATAATCGGGTCATATTCGTTGACCACCTTCCTCCTCCTTAACGTGTGACGTTATTTCTGGTTTCCCCAAAGCTGTGCATATTACCTCTCATACGATATCTTCAAATTTATATTCATTGTCCTCCGCACCGCATTACCTTAGAGAAAAATTAATCTGTCGATCTTCTATTCACAACGTACATGTCAGGCATCAGTCTGTACTCACTATGCCAATCCATCGCTCTGCTATATTTAATATATAGCAGAGCGATTTCACTTATAATGCTGTGATTGGTTACAATGGTTTGAGTGATGAATTGAAAAATATCACTTCCATGTCTACTTTCAAAAAAAGACTGAAGCACCTTTTACTATATCAGCAGAACATGTAATAAGATATAATAGTAAATAGAATATAATAATTGCAGTGTGGTTCTGTGTAAGTGTGCGCTTCGAGGATTGTGACGGCGCATGCACGTGTATGAATTGTTAGTGTATATTTGCATTGCTTCTTTATAATTTGTGATTTATTTATGTTTTTTCTCTCTTTATCACATGTTTTCTTTTAACTCTAATGGTATTTTAGATATTTATATAAATGTTATTTCGTTTTAGTGAACTCTAGGAATTCTCTTTTTTTTTGAATATGTATCATACTTCTTTCGTTCATTTCTTATGTTTGTGTTAACATTTTTCTTTTTTTCTCTACTTTATTTTCATTTACTTTCCTGAGGTTAGATGGAAGAGTAGCTTATGCTAAATCTCGCCTCTTCTTATGTAGCACAATATGTGTGACAATAAAGACGTTTATTATTATTATTGAACTAATATACATCCATGGCTTACCTGGGATTCGTACCGAGTTCTTTCTAGTGAGGGACAGCCACTCACTCCAATAGGTTAGTAGATGAACAAACCTTGTGAGTAATTATTTATTTTCAGTAAAAAAAAAGTGAAATATACCTGATACAACGTAAGTGTTACAAAATCTTCTCATGCAACTGACCGATGCACGATGAATTTTAATCCTTTAATGAAAATATATGAACAGGCCCACATTCGTATGCGAGTTTTATAAAATAGACCCGTAAGATATGACATGAGTGTGTCGTATCTCGGCACCATCAAATCCTCGAAATGCCCATTCATTCCCAGAGTGCCTGAATACGATGTAGGAATGTTATAATGATCAAAATCGTCGTTTCTTATGAATATTTTCCATTCGGCGCGAGAAATAATGCACTCGGCAATTTGTCATTCCGCCTCATAGCTATTTAGCTATTTTTAAAGACTCTCCCAACCCAGTCACCTTTGTGTGACTCACAATCGGACTGGCTATAAAAACGTGCATCAGGTATTACTTCATATCAGATAAAACTGAGTGACTGTACCTGTTTTCCATTCACGCTTCGTGATTCCAAAATACTTGCGGATGATGTGTACTATGGTCACGAGAAGGAAATTCTATGATTGATTCCTAATAATTGGAAATTATCGAAACTGCAAAAAAACATTTTGATGAGAGATTTTGTATGTTTACCAAGCTTTAAAAAATTGGCTAAACAATTTTGAAATGAAATCTCATTTCTCTATTTCACCTTCATGTTCTTTTTCTCTATAACGATTTGTAAAAGAATCATACGAAATAATCAATGTTTTTTCTCAATTTTAAGTTTGAAAGAAATCTTCATTCATTTTCAATAAATTAAAATTAAATTAAAATTAACACACTTGGCTTAAGTTTCACTAAATATATAAAAAATTCTACACATGTTTCGGTTAGTGGACCCATTATCAAGAGTTATCAATATTCTAACAAGTAAACAGGTAATATTGTTTACTCTTGATAATGTGTTAACCTCCCGAAACATATGTAGAATGTTCAATATATTAAGTGAAACTTGAGCCAAGTGTGTTAATTTAATTTAATATTTTTAACATGATGTTTCGCCAAGAGATAAGCAAAACCTCCATGTCATCCATTTTCAATATATTCGAAAATTTTCAACTTTAAAATGAAAATTATCCTAATTAATTATCACAAAAAATTTCAGATTCCACAGAATCGCTCATTTAAATAATCAAAGCGGGCTTATTTAATTGAGCTTTTGAAAAACCAAATATGTTAATTTAACAGATATAAAATTGATTAGTTTCTTAAATTTCGTTTTTCTCTGTAATTAATGTTGTACATTACCCAACAATTATCATCATTAAACTACTTAAATCATAGATAAACACATACACCCATGTCTTCACCGGGGATAGAACCCGAGTTCTACCGCACCATAGTCGGATGTTCTCCCGACCAAGCCACGGAGACAGGCTAGACTGTTAATATAATCTATGAAATTTAAACCAGGTTTTTCAATTTTAATTTACTATTATTTAAAATAATGTTTCGCCTACTGATAAACGAAACCTCTGTGTCATTTATTGGAATATTGTTTTTTTTAGATGTAATATTTTCAACATTTTTCCTGTGTATTAGACAGTTCACAGTTTTTCAAGAAAAATTATTAGGACCTTTCTCTCAACTGGTATAGTTCTCTTGGGATTAGAGATAAGAAACTGAATAGGACGGTTCCTAATTATCTCAATGTAAAATAAATTCAACTATTAATAAAATTGTTTCTGGGTATATTTTAAGAATTTGTTTAAGTGTTTTCCGTTTCAATTTTGTATTTTGATGAAGTGGTAATGAAAACACCCTGTGGATTATTTTTGAATGTATCCCGTAATCAAAAATACATGGCTCATTAAATTTTTGCTATCAAAATGTTGTTTATGATATATAGTTCCTTATACACTTTTGTTATTTTTTTAATATTCGTCCTTAATGTTTGATTTTCCAACAATAGTTTTGAAGAAGTATAATAATATAATTCGAAATTCTAGGAATTCAATTTGAGACTCGAGTACATTTCGGGCTATTAACCATTGTCAAGAATTCGGTTAAAACGTCCAAAAATGTCGAATAGTTAAGTACGTTTATGAATTAAACTGATTTTCTTCAGAAATATCTCTCCAAGTTTTATTCAAAGTCATTTCACGTCATTTATGGATATCTATCTGTAGGATTCTCTTCTAAAAAGCTATAAATCTTTCTACATTTTTTTACCAATATTAACAAAGTGGACATAAAGTGAATCTTACCTGAATATTTCATTTTCTATATTTTTATACGATAAACACGCATGAATCGAGTGTGTCGGATAAAATTCCTTGATAAAACCTGAGAAATATTGCCACTATTTGAGGCAAGTAACGCGCTATACGATTTCACTTTGTATCGTCATTCTTCTCATTCACCCTGGTGCCCAAATCAGTTAGGATGGAAATAAACGAACGAAGGGTCGCATTTTGTCTCTGTCCTGGTAAATAAGTGCATTAGATAAGGAATATTACAACTTGGTTTTATGTTAAAGTGTGAAGAAAAGAGCCTACCTGTCCCATCTAGTCTTATCATCATATTTCTATATATTCAGTCGACCACTTTGTTTTACTTTTTTGTTATGGGAATTTTGTCATTGAAGAATTTTTAAGATTACATCCTCATTCTCAATGGTCCTTACATATAACTCTAATATAACTCAAATGATATTATTTATTGTGTATGAATGTAGTTGGTTCACTTTGTATTTTATTATATATGGCTAAAAATATATCGTAGTGTATATTCAATTTAGTAATAAAGTACAGGATGTACATGTTTGGCGCACTTAATTTATTTCGTAATGCAATTTGCAAATTTTCTTGTCGATTTGAGAAAAAAAATTGATAATCGGTCAACCATTTAATCTCTTATCTGTTCAATATTTATTTTGTGAAAATCAAAAGCAAAAAATTAATATACATTCAAATGTTAAATTTGTAATATCAAAACAATTTTTCAATCGTTCGTTTCAAATGTTAAAAATATCTGGAAACAAATCCTTTCAAATCAACAAACTGACATACATACCTTCCTCTTCATTGACGTAGTCAATATATTTGGAACGCCACAAGTCATACAAGAATTGACTCAATCTTTTTCTTTTCAAGGACAAAGAAATTTCATCCTTTCCTTCTTTGTGTTATGTGGTATAAACACTGTTATATGGTTTAGAATTACTCCATTCGCACTTACCTAATTGTACTTATCTAGTTGTGTGTATTATTCACATTTTTGAAAATTTTGTGAATCCAAACCTTGACCAAGTAAGTTTTAATGAAGGTTCATGATAATGACATGGTAATATTTTTTTAATTGTTTTTTCTCAATGTATAACTTTAACTTCGCTTATTTTCTAAATCTACCCAATCTTACTTAGTAAATAAATAAGTTCTTTTTCTGTGTCATACTACTTTTTTCATTTCGAACATTGACATCGGCTTTCATGCATCGGATCGTTTTTTCATTATGAATAATTTTTTCACGAACTCTTGAATCAATACTAATAATACTAATCAATCAATTAATTATTGATTCGGGATTCGAACCGAATTTTCCATGGGTATAAGCCTTCAATTCAGGCACATTTTTATGGGGACCACCAGAGATGTTGTTTGTTTTCAAGAGTTTCAGTAACCGCCATATAAAATCTCCCTACATACATTTTTCCTCTGCATATTAAAACGAAATTATTATCCATAATTCACTTTGGATATCCTCCATTAAATCGTTTTCTCTTTTAGTAGAAATAGTTGTCAATCAGATGGACTGGGAACATGTTCCATTTGAATTATTGATTTCGAATTCAAGAGTCGATACCGAATGATAAAGTGGAAAAGGGGAGATATTTAGATAACTATCTAGTTGATATTTTCATATTGGTTGAATAGTGTGAAAACAGAAGAGGAAATTTATATTCTACTAATTTTGTGTCTTAAATCTTTTTTCTCATTATTTAATTTCAATAGTCGTCATTGTCCACTTAAGATAAACTCCTTCGAAATAATCCAAAGGTTTTAAGTTTGAGATGCGAGAAGGCCGTAGTTTGAGTCGTTGTTAAAAAATTAATCAACTCATATTTTCAGTTGGTATATAGAAATTTTTGGAATACTTGAGCTGAAACGTTGAAAAACATTGGAAATCTGAACATGGCTATGTAATCGTAAGAAAACAATTTTCAAAATTCAACAAAAGAAAAAACTATTCATAAAATAGTACAGCTAATAAACCATAAGTTCAACATTCATAGGACTATTTAATATTTATATATTTAATACCTTAATTGGTAGCAAGTTTGAGTATGGCAGCATGATCTGGCATCCTATTTACACTTGCCATCAACGCCATCTTCAGGCTATTCAGAGGTTCTTGGAATTCTTAGTTTGGAGGGAGGATAAAGTTTATCCACAGAGAGGAGTCAATCATAACGAATTATTGAGTTGATTTAGTTTAATCTCATTGCAGAGCAGGAGAGAAACTTTATCACTAAAATTTTTGTACAAATTACTGCACAATAGTACTGATTGTCCTCCTCTCTTGTCCGCTTTGAAATTTCGTGTTCCTAGGCAAAATTGTCGTAATACAGAATTATTCTACCTAGAGACTCCAAGGACAAACTCCCGAATACAATTCCATTTAATTAATAAATTCAATATACTTTAATTTTTATATAATTAATTTTATTAATAAATTAATAAAACTCCCCCATTCGGTTTATGGAGTCTACATTAAATAGAGTTGCCAATAATTGTGACATTCACATTGAGTCCATAAAACTTATTATCAGGAGTTATGTGAACAAAGAAAACTGACTAAAATGCATTGCTTTAGATCGAGTCTTTGTAATATTTCACTGAATGCTATAATGTAGTTATTAGTTACTATTTTTTCAGATTAGATTGAGCTCTTTATTATATCTTTTTCATTTTAATTATTTAGTTAGTATTCAACATTATGTTATTATTTTCTGTTATTGGGTGTTATACCTGTTGAGAATAAAGAACTTATTATAAGCTTTTTATTTTTGAATTTTCGAAGCATACGGCAATAAATGAATACACTGTATCTTAGTTTATTCTCTCGTCTATTTAATTTTTGCAATAAAGGTAGAGTTATCGAGAGTGATTATGATGAGCTCAACGGTCGATAAGCGTATATATTTCAAATGTATCACGATACTTCATTTATCAAGTTCATTACTCAATAATGTGAACGAAAATTTAATGAAGCGAAGTATTGTGTTCAATTATGAAACATAATAACCACGAATAAAGAACTATTGAAATCACTCATACATAGTGCAAGATAAAAAGCAAATAAAAGTAGGTCAGTTTTCTTTCGCTGTCCTAATAAATTTGTTTATTACGAAATATAAACGTTTTATTCATTTCATGCAACAAGTATAGAAGAACCAATTTCGTTAGTTGGATTATCTTCCGCTAGATTGAGCCCTAGAATTGCGTTAGCATCTTTTGACCTAAATTAGAAATTTTCAAACATTGTTTTCATAATTTCATCTCGAATCTCTCTACTAATCTAATGTTGGAATGTCCAAATTTCGGAAGTTTTTCAACATGTAATCATCACTTCGAATATAATTGTGAATCTTGCGTTGAAGAATTTGAATTGTCTATTGATTCTTCTATCGAATACAAAAAAAATATTTCAATTACAAAGTTAACGGTGTAGCTCGCATAATTAAACAAATCTTAGAAATCTGGACCTAACTGACAAGTGACTATTTGCATGAACTCTGCAAATTGGGAGAGTTAATGTTTGCTTCCTCACGTGGTATCTTTATGTTTTTTTGTTTTTTCTCTTTTCGAGATAAAGAGCTACTCTAATTTGTCGAATTATCTTATCATTATTGAGGTAGAAAGGTTATAAAATCATAGATTCAGGGAATTATAGGATTATTTGTTTACAATTATCGGAAAAACTCCATTAAAAACCTTACGTTCCCTTGAAAATAATTGATGTTAATGATTATCCAATAACACACATTGAGAAAATATTTTCCACAAATGCCGGGGCCTCCGTGGCTAAGTCGGGAAAACACCCTCATGCAGGTTTTTAACGATTTTTTTTCCTGTAAATAATCTATGTTAACAAATTGTAATTCCTTAATCGTAATTTGTAAATCATTATTCTTAAATTGAAAGGCTCTAACGAACCACTATATAATATAGGTTACAGTGTGAGCTTTCGTATAAAGCAGGAACTGTAAATAGAATAGATTTACATATAAAACATGTGTAATTGTATAATTATTTATGTATATTTTACTAAATATGTTTGTAAATCATTTGTGTATATAATTTGTAACTAAATCCTTGTTGCGTTGACCATAATCAACGGTAGAATTCGGGTTCGAGTCCCGGTGAAAGCAT